TTAGGAGAGTTTTAAAATTATACAGTTCTGATCATTTTTATTCACTTGCAGGATGTGAAGTTTGCAGCACCACCAAGTCAACTGGTGTCCTGACAGAAAAGAGGATCTCCATTTCTGAGGAGTGGGCATCATTCAAAATCCAGTCATCAGGTTCCAGTGAGAACCGAGAAACGGCACTGTCTTCACTCCGGAACAAGATTCGGCGGCATGAGAATTCCAGGGCTCATGAAATAGCTCAGGAGCTCACACAAAAATGTGGACAGGATTTGCTTGGAAGTATGGTGAGGGCTGTATCAGACACTGTGCTGGCCGAGACGGATGCTGTGTTCAGAACAGCATATTATATTGCAAAGATGAACAGACCTTTTACTGATCACGACGATCTCATTGAACTTCAGGAAAAAAATGGTGTGAACTTGGGCACTAGTCTACACTCCAGGTATAGTTGCACAAAAATTGTTGAACATGTTGCAAGGGAAATGCAGACAAAAATTGTGAACAGCATTGTGTCTTCTATGGCATTGTGTCTTCCGAATATCGGTATCGGTGCATCTCTAGTAATGTTTTTTGGTATCTGCCAAACCCAGACTTGTCCATCAGACTGCCTGACAGAGAAGCATGATTTGTCACTCCACACAACATGTTTTCACTATTCCAGAGTCCACTCCATCCAACGCTTGACATTGCGCTTAGTGATGTGAGGCTTGAATGCAGCTACTCGGCCATGGAAGCCCATTCTATGAAGCTCCTGGCACACAGTTTTTGTGCTGGGGTTAATGTCAGAGGAAGTTTAGAACTCTGCAGTTATTGAGTCAACAGAACTTTGGCGACTTTTATGCAATATGCACCTAAGCACTGGGCGATCCCACTCTGTTACTTCATGTGGTATGTAGTTCCAAAAACGCTTCCACTTTACAATAATACATGGGAAAGTGCCTGAGAAACATTGTCAAAAAAGTTGCTCTATGTAATGCCACCCTTAGAACTACATATCCCAGAAGCCTGCTGCACTCAGCTCCTTTAGAAAATAATATCGGCTCCCAGGAACCAACAGGTAAGTTTCCCCACCACAGACAATTAACATTATTGCATTAAAAAATGTAAAACAGATCATAATGCTAAAGTTAAAAATCCTCTTCACATAGTTGGCCACCTTGAATGTTGAGATAAACTGTGTTTTGTGTATTTGAATCAGAATTGGCAGTGCTGGAGTACTGATTCTGCAGTGGGAAAATGCTCATTGCTGTTTCGGCATCTGCAATAAAATGATGAAAACAGTAAAATTTGCATGTAAGTTCTTTTCATTTAATTTGAAAACAAAGTCTGTGACATGGACATTAGCTCTGTCACAGCACACTTTGTCAATGTGATGTAGATATAAGCAGAAAAGGAATGGATCAAATAAAAGCAGACATGATCGCTTGATTACTTTATCTGGTTTCAATTGTCCTCCTTTTAACAGAGAGGCATGGTGGAAGTACAAAAAAACAGTTCACATTGTGGCTCGGTTAAGACAGGAACTTAATTCAAAAACAAACAAGAAACAAAAGGAACCGCAAGGGGTCTAAACACAGATAGGAAGAACTAAAGCAGGGAGCACCACTTGATCAAACACAGTAGCACAGGCACAAACACAAGACTAGGTACACCAAAACAACTACAATGACCAACTGAAGAATAAAGCAAGGGCAGGCACTTAAATACAGACATGACAAGGATTAACAAGAGACAGGTATGGGTAGTAACAAGCACTAGGAATACAAGCACAGGTAAAGGCAATCACTAGATACATAATCAAACATCAGGGGATAACAAGGGAAACTAAATATTAATACAAAATAGGTAGTGTCACGATCCGCTCCATTCGATCCCGATGTGTGCCACGCCCACCTCGTTACCTCGTGTGATTCCCTGATTGTTCTCACCTGTGATTCGTTACCCTTAGCCTGTCTCCTGTATTTAGTCCGTGTCTAAGTCAGTAGTCCCCAGTTCCGTCATTGTATTGTCATGTGCAGTTCGTTGTCCGTCAGTCTGCCTGCAATAAACCCCGTCTGTCCTTATTTACGGCTCCGATTGCCTGCTTCCCGACTCGCCTTCTCCGCAAGTGTGACAGGTAGTAATGAAGCAAAAATAATGAACTGTAAGAAAAATACATATAAACCCAGGATATATAAAAACATAAACATCAAAATATAAACTCTCTGGCCAACCTCGAA